ACAAACAGCAATATAACAATTTTTTTTTTAAATTTGTTTCTATTTTAGCTCCATTCATATATTTTTTATTCATATTACAAACAGCAATATAAAAATTTATTTTTAATTTGTTTCTATTTTAGCTCCTCTCATATATTTTCTATTCATATTACAAACAGCAATATAAGAATTTTTTTAAAAAAAAAATTTGCTTCTATTTTAACTCCTCTCATATATTTTTTATTCATATTACAATCAGCAATATAATTTTTTTTTTAAAATTTTTTTCTATTTTAGCTCCTCTCATATATTTTCTATTCAAATTACAAACAGCAATATAATTTATTTTTTTTAAAATTTGCTTCTCTTTTAGCTCCTCTCATATTTTCTATTCATATCACAAACAGCAATAAATTTTTTTTTTCTTTACTTTTCTCAAAGTTTCTATCAGTAAAGTTTTTAAACCGAAATTAGGATTTTTCATGTAAAATAACTTTATAAAGCATTGGTGATAAAGTTGCACTAAGGACCTTAGCGCATCTTTCCAAAAACTGAAAACTGCAATGAAATGTATGTTACTTAACATGGGGGTAGGTACCAGGGTTTTCTTTTCTCTCTCTCAGGCAAGAATTGATTCGACATTGAAATGGAAATAGTTGTATTTTTTTTTTTTTTTTTCGATCTCTCTTACTCCTTGGTAAACACGAACGAAATGTTCTAAGAAAACAAACGTTAAACTAAGACATTTTTTTATCATAAAATGCCACATAAAGGATTGCTGTAAAGGGTTTTTATAAAATAAAATGAAAATATTTTTTCAATTCATCCACTTTTTCCTGTATTATATATTGTGTTGACCCTTTCGGGACTCTTCGATAATCTGACCCTGAATATCTCAGAAGAAGGAAAAAGATTTCGTTTCCTGCAAAAATGTACGCATCGGAAAACGTAAAACCGCTTATAATTGCGCATTTTAACACTTCATTGATTACAGTTGTCCTTCGATAGTTCTCATATGTGTGGCCCTAGGGATATTATCGAAAATCATCAACGCATTACTCTTCATTAATTGATGTGTTTGGTAAAACTTATAATAATCTGGTTAATTTTAATTCTCTCCTCACTTTTGTTTCTGTTTCAAGTTGTAAAATATCATCTAGTGGCTTACGACATTTTCACTGTCTATCAGATAAAATTTTGCTTTTTCTCAATCAAATATTTTAGTCAGGTATTTATTATTTTTTCTAATAATTTACGGAAATCACTCTATTTTGCCGGTTATATGTTATGAGTTTCAAGCAAAAGCCAGAGGACTATTTAAGAGGTCTGGTTCAGATTGGTGTTTGAACATAATAAAGGGAATATCGTCATGTCCAAGAAAAATGTTTTCACTCTAAGGCTGTTTTTAATTCATTTATGTTCAGTGGTGCATTGCACGTATCCAAAGGTTGTAACGGGCTATTTAATAATATATATACTTTTTTTTTAAACTGCAGAATCTGAATTTATAATTTGATGTCATTTTATTGACACATTATGTTTAAGAGGCCTTTTAGGTTTAGCTGTAAATGTTTCTTGCTCGAGTCTTTTTAAAAGTAATTAAATTTTGAAGTGCTGGTGTGCAACAAAACTCTCTTCTGCATTCCTTCATGACTTAAGGCTTGTTGAGGGAATGAGTCACTTCTTCAGAGGTATTAATGTTTCGTAAAAATTCAAAAGCTGTGCGGGAGATGTGACAAGTTTGCGTGAGATGGCTATTAATATGGGATCATGCTTCATTTTTTCTTTTTTTACTTGTATGTATTTCTTCAAGGGGAAAATTTATTCTATAAATTCATCTTTGCTTGTTATAACACAAAATCGTACTTTTTGTGTACATGAAGCACTTATAACATGCAAATAAATTTTAAAGGCTATTTAATTTTATAACCTTTTTTTCAATTTATGCATCTACAAAACTAGAAATATAATACGCATAAGTCTTTGAAATATGAATAGATTTCAGTTTTAAACTATCTTATTTTAGGTGTAAATAAATACTTACTTTTGCAGATTTATAAATTCATTGTTTGTTCTTGGAGAGAGAGATAAAGAGGCATAATTTTGCTACACATATTTCTGTTTGGAAAATAATATCTATTCGCTATTGTGTGTCTTTCAATAATTAAGTAGATAAAAGTTAGCTTGATGAAATGCCAGAAGAATTTTGCAGATGGGCAGTAATTACTGAGCTTCTCAATTAATTATTTGTTAACGAGCGAATCGGTTGGAAAAGATGTACGAAAGTATTGTGGAGCAATGTGTGTTATATCTAGTTATATCATGAATAATTAAATAATGTACGTATCTTATCTAATAGTGTTCAGGTTCAAAAGCGTTCTGTCTCTCTTTAATTTAAGAAAAATTCTTTTAAACATATCCTGCTTGTTGTGTCATCCAAGAAGAAAAATTAGTTTTTGCCCAGTATGACAGCAACTAGTGAAAACTTAATATATGTTATCAAACTCTTTTAATCAAAATCACTTTAATTTCTTAANATTTCATCATAACATTGACGAATCCTGTTATATCAAACACTTCATTTTCTAAGGTTTCACCATTCCTAATTCACAAGGCTCTCCTCTCCGTACTGGGAGAAGTAGCCTCTGTGAGAAAACTGCGCTCCGGCGACCTTTTAGTGCAGACGACATCCGAAAAGCAAGCCACTGCCCTATCTAAGTGTACAAATATATGTACCTTTAATGTAACTGTCACTCCTCACAAATCTCTGAATACTTGTCGTGGAGTAATATCTCAAGCTGAATTCATAGACGACGAAGAGAGTATGATCTTAGAAAACCTGCAAGACCAGCATGTTGTCGAGGTCCGTAGGATTAGGATTCGAAGGAATGGACAACTCATTCCAACGAAACATCTTATCCTTACGTTTGCCTCTCCAACATTACCATCTGCTGTTAAACTTGCATGGTATAATTATCCAGTCAGACCTTACGTCCCAAACCCTTTGAGGTGCTTTCAGTGCCAAAGGTTTGGACATTCAAAAGCATCTTGCCGTGGTACACCTGTTTGTGCTCGCTGTTCTACTCCTGGCCATTCAAGCACTTCTTGTGAGTTGCATACCCTTTGCATTAACGGCAAGGGAGCGCATGAAGCTACCCAAGAAGTTGTCCCAGATGGCCACAGGAGAAAGAAATTCAATCTGTTAAAGTATTGTAGAACCTAACCTTTAATGAAGCTTGCCGAATCGTTACCGTCCGTACACCCAGTCCTGGCGTGTTGTATTCTACGGCTGCTAAGGCTTCAAGTTGTTCTGTTGGTACTCAGACTGATTCCCCGCACTAACATCTACTAAAATTAAACCACCAACTCAAAAACCTCAATTTAACTTTACCACACCATTAACATCTAATAAGACCACCTAACAAATTATCTAAAATAGAGAATTCCGAAAAGGCCCGACCTTTTACGAAACAAGTCCCTTAAAAAAACTTCCCCAAGTCAAAAGCCTAGCTATTCCAGGAAGAAAAAAGATGCAAAGTTCGTTCAACTTGCCAATCAATCCACCTCTTCTGCTTTACTGAAGATGGATTTTGAGGTAGAATTGTCTTTGCATCCCTCTGAAGACGAATGCCTACTCGATTGACCTCTGGATAATGTCGTTAACTTTCAATCATCCTCTCATATTTCATAATGTCCATATGTTTCATGTCATGGAACTGTCGCGGTTTGCGAAATAAGAACCTCATGGAGGTGTTTCAATTTTAACTTCGAATGCATTACCATCTACTGACCTTTTATTATACAGCTCATTACAGGCTTGCATTGTTCAAATCCATATAATTTTCTACTCACAATATGCACTGTAAACCTACCTCCTCATGCACCCATTTCTCAAACAGATATAAACTCACTTATAGCTCAGTTACCTTCGCCTTTTATTTTGCTTGAAGATTTTAATGGTCATAGTGAGTTATGGGGTAGTTCCGCCTCCAATGGCC